CCAAAGATTAAAAATTCAAGACGAAGCCATCTTGGTAAGTATAATTGCTATATTATAAATTATTGATAATTATTTTTTAACCCTAATTTTTTTAATCAATTTATTTAGATCTTGGGCTAGAAAAAGAGGTTTGCCAACAAAATACAAAATTTAATGATAGCTACTAGATCTTGGCTTGGCCTTATATATATTTGGTTTACTATCGCTATTGCAGTATGTATTTATATTGTCATAACAGACTATTACTTTAACATAGTAAATTTTATAAGTGAAAGCGTCTATTAATAGGTATTACTGCCATATATTCAATATTTTGTTTACCTATAGGAAGTTTAAAAGGTATAAAACGGCTATAAATATTATGAATTGGTATAATAGAATCTCTGCCAATTGAATAAAATTCTTTTTTTCATAATTCTATATTACAACACCTTAAATCATTATTGATTTGGTAATTAAATCAGGTTTTATGATTTTGAGCCAGCAAAAACCACTTAACATATGCTAAATAGTGTATATGTTTTTTACCATTTAAAGGTATTTTATGCCCAAAATAAAATTGGACCTGCCCAAAAAACGATTCGATAACTTCATTATCTTGAATAAATTTTGCTAAAATATATGAACTTTTTTGATATGTTGGTGCCATACTTGATCTTAATATTTCAGATCTAATCCGAATACATCCAAATTGATTTATAAGTAGATGAACAGTTGGTCCGATTTCACCAATAGAAACAAAATTTGATTTATACCAATTATTATAATAATCGATTAATAAATTGTAAATATCATCAGGCAAAGCTACTTGTATTTTCTTTGGTTTCATCATTTCACCAGGAAAATCCTCAGTACCAATATTTAATTCACACTCTAAGTTACGCATTATTAAAAATTGATGCAATTCAGCAGCTTCAAAATTATCATTCATTGCCAAACTTCTAACAGTAGAATGTGGAGTAAGTAATTGAAGTGCTGTTAATAATTCACTACAATTTGAATTATTAATTAGATATTCTAACTGCCAGGTTTGCATCATGGTTTTCAGTAGCTCTGCTTCTATCTAGCGCTTACTATTTTTATATGAACCTATAACTTCATTCATTCTTTCGAATGAATAACACCAATATGAATACAAAGGACCATAATCTATACAACATTCAACAATATGAAGTGATAAATGAATATTAGGTGTTATCACTTCTGGTCTATAATTTTCTTCAATTAGTTGGGCAACTGTTCGCAATCGATAATTTGCCTCATTTAATATATTTTTATCAATAATGCGCAATATAAGCAAAGTACAAGCCCTAACGAAATTGGCTAAAATTTTTTGATCAGGACCTTTTAGAAGATCTCACATTATCGACATTGCATAATATAAGATAAAGGACTTTCACTGATCTGCAATAAATCCAGAAAACTCATCCCCAGTATCAATTTTATTAGGTATTCTTCCTAAATCAATAGGTAATTGTAATTTATTTGCTCGATCAGCTATTATCCGAAGATCTGATTTAGAAATTTTTTCTTTATCAATCCAAAGCTTCTTTATAATCCACTGTATAATTCCAAGAAACAGACAATGCATAGAATCAATGACCAAATGTCTAATTGATTTATGATATGGCAACCAAAGAAGTTCTATCCATCTAACATGTGTATTAGAAACATGTTTTTTTCTTTGTTTCTTTGTTGTACATTGAAACCATGTTTGAGCATTTGTTATATGTTCATACAAATCACGTGATCCAGTTCGATTGTTTGGTTCTTTGTAATCGTATTCTTTATCTTTACCTTTATTATTTGGTTCTTTTTTTTTTTAGATATTTGCTCGTAACATCGGTGGCATCCAGATAATGCCGATATATGTCTGCATAGCTTTCTTGCTACCATAATATCATATGAGCAACAAATTACTGCAAGTCTAATTATTTTGCCATTTGGTAATATTACACCTTCCCAGAATTCTAGTAATTCATCTACAATTGGTGTCAAATAATGATTTATCTTGTAAAGCTTAACCTCATTAGGACCTGGCAAAAATCCAAGTATAAGCATATTTCTTTTTTAAACCTTATATCACGTGGAAGATTATATATAGATCTATAAATTATGTCACAACTATATGCTAAAATTTAAATGGCTGGAACCAATCGAGATTAAGTAAAATTCTTAAGTTACGGTCTGCGGTTTCTGGTGTAAAGAAATAGGAATTATTTGGACCATCAATTTGAGAGGGAAAAGTTTTCCAAATTTCATCATCATAGATATCTGAAATTGTATTAGTATCTACAGACTGATTTGTCTATTTTTAAAGTAACACATTAAACCCATCTTGTTGGTACATTAAAAATAATTGAGATTTTATGCTTGGTAGTGGATATTGCATTTGTGGTCGCCAAATATGTCCTTTTACTGTTAAAATTTTTTTTAGTAACTCTTCTCCACAAGGCTTTCGCTGACTTGGTTTTGGATAATTTGAAAATTCTTTATATATGCATTTAAAACCATTAGAAGCTTGATTATCCGGTGTTATTTCTGCCATATTATATAATTTATTACATTTGGGACAAATGATAAATGTTTTATACTGTCTATTGAAATTCAACATATTCCGTGCAAAATCAATATTTGATGGAAACTTTTCAAAATGACTTTTATCAATATTGTTTAAAATTAAGCAAAGAAAACCGATAAGAGCGTCAGTTACTACATTTGATAGTTGGAATCTTTCTTGAAATTTAAAAACCCAAATAAGAATCTACAATAAATCATTAAGATTTATATTAGGCTCAGGAATATGATAGGTTTATTGAAATCAACTTTAGGAGTGTGAAATAGATTAACAAAAATACTTTCTAAATCTTCAATTTCTTCATAAAGCTCTGAATCGTCGGAAGACATTAATATCTCATCTTTAGAGTAATTATTATCAGTATTATTATTTTCTATTATACTATCGCTATTATTCACAAACTCATAATTATTCTCAAAATGATCATATTCGTTATCCTCAAAGTGATCGATATATTCGTTATTCTCAAAGTGATCATCGTTATTGATATTATCCAATTTGACCTTATTCTTATGATTATCTGACTTGGCATAGTTTATATTTTTAGTATTGCTTTGACTTTTTGTAGACCAAAATTGATTATATCTTTTTCTTTTTTTTGTAGATATAAGAGATGATGTTTGAACTTGGTTAGGCGTAATAGATTTTATTGCCAACTTTACATCATTAATACTAATTTTGTCTCGATCATTATCTTTTGACTGAACTGAGCTCTTAGCATATATAGTTTAATAACTATTTGTTTTTCGTTTCTTAACGAACTCATTTTGAAAATATGCTTCTTCTTCTTCATACTTTTTTTTTGTTCTCATATCAACTATACATCAATCAGAATTTTTATAACAACATTGTTTGCAGTAACATTTAACTTTTTGTCGAACTCTAATGTATTGTGACATGATAATGTTAAGAAGAAATTAAGAATAAAGAAGAGTAATAATATTATTCAAAAGAAAAGGATATAAACGAGTAGTGATGGGTTGTAGTACTGCACCGTTGTTTAGAAGTGAAAGATAATATTAAAAGATAATAAAAGAATAAGGTAATAAAGACTGTTTATATATAAATCTTGCAAGAATTAATATAATTAACTACAATCCTTTATGCTTGGTATATTTGACAAGCTTAATTTATTAATATTGAGGCACTGCGTAACATTATGAGTATTCGGGGACTTTTGATCAAACTTTGATAATTTATTGGACCATATTCTTAAGTAGATACTCTACCATTATTGCAAGTTTGGTTATATAATATTATATAACAACTTATTACAATTCTTGTTCAAAGTTCCAAATACTCATAACATTACACAATAACCCATATGTTTTCAACTTCTAGGACACTAAATTCAGAATTATGCACCATACACTTCGATTACATTAAACTTGGAAAAAAAAAATATTGTTTATTCAAAATTTGTAGTAAAATTACTAGTAAGATTTAATTATTCATTTTTAATTTCTAGCTTATCTGCCTGAAATGATTATGAAACAATAAAGCACTATAGTGTCTAAATTCTTTACACCAGATAAAAAAAAGCATTATCGATTAAAAAAAATCAATACCACTAAAATCATCGAATACTATTTTAGTAGATATTCCTCACTGAGCTAAAAAAAAACAAACTTCATATTGATATTTAGAATACTTAAGAACATTGTGTCATCTGACTAATTTGCATCTTTTGTTCTAAATCGATAATAATGATAAATATTACTATCAGGAACCCGGACAGTGATAGCAAAAATAGTTAGTGAAATTAGCTAGTGAAATTAGCACATTTAACAAAATAGCTTATTATAAATTTATATTTATTGAGTATAAATTTTAATGTAATCATATTTTTCTTCTGCGAGTTCTTTATCTATCATTTCAATGAGTTCTTCGGTCATCATCTAAAATATATATATAATTACTTGTTTATGTAATTCAGTTCAAGAACAAAGGTAAAATCACATGCTTATAGCAAAAGTAGCAAATTTCGCATCTTAGCGCAAGACAATTGTTGCTAACTATTTTGCTAAAAAATAGCATGCTACAAAAATCCGAGTTCTCTGGAATAAGGGTAATAATCGTATGTTTAGTACAAAAGTAGCAAATTTCGCATCTTAGTACAAGACAATTGTTGCTACATAGCTATTTTTCTAAAAAAATAGCGCTATTTTAGATATTCTGATTGCTATATATTAATATAGTAATTATATATTAATAAGTACATAAGTAAATAATTGTTTTACTATATTGGTATTGATATATATAAAAAAACAATGATACGTATGACTAAATTTTACTTGAATTGGCTTTGATTAATATTAAAAACAATAGATTGCATGGTCGGGAAATGAATAAGTATTCTTTATTCTGTGAATCATGAAGCAAACTATAAGCTATCTATAAAATTATTCATTAATAATAGTCAGACAATAGAAATTATTCAAGAGAAACCCTGAATTTTCTACTTGAAAGCACTTCAAGAATGATTTTTTTGAATGGTCTTAAAATGAATAAGTATTTTCTGCTTTAGAGATGTCTAACAAACCCGTGAATTTTGACAATAGTAGTAATAATCCCAATAGTCAGACAGAACAAACCCAAATGTCAAAATTTCAAATAAATATTATTTATATACCTATCGTTGCAGTAAGGATACTGAATAATTATTATATATAATAGCAGGTTTGTTACTTTGAATCTGGATTGGAGATTATGCAACTTAGTTGAAAGATCGTAATTTTTATTTGGGCCTTTGTTCGAGTTCATTTGACACCTCTGGGAATCAAAAATTAATGATTATAAAAAAGTTTTTTAACCGAGCATTAAATTGAATGCCTAAGAACTACTATTCATGGTTAATATTTAATTATTTATTGAATTAAATAACTAATAACTATTGCACATTGACATATTTTACCAATTATTTTAAAGTGAATACCTTAGAACTTTAATTAGTCAACGATTATATTCTTTTATCAATACCTTTTATGCATTTTAGTTAATTCAATTATTGATTGCTAAAAATTAATAATTAGAAATTCTCATCGCTAATTAAACATAAATTTTAATGCAATCATATTTATCTTCAGTGAGTTTTTAGTCTACCATCTCTCTAAATATGCATATTATTTTTATACGATCAGATTTTTTCTCTAATAAATAAATACAATAATAATCTATCCTCCAATAAATCAAAAAATTATTGTTCTAAAATAAAAACGATACCGTCCTTACTTCTAAGATTAAAATATAAATGGATCATATTTCGCCAATTTCATAATTCGAATCAAAGTTCGATTTTTTTTTGAAAAAAAAAATTTTTTACCTTAGAAATGCTTAAAGGATCTTCTAATCCCCAAAAATCTTCTAAACTTCAACAATTATCTAAACTTCAAAACCCTTCTAAACCCCAAAAATCTTCTAAACCTCAACAATTTTTTAAACCTCAAAACCCTTCTAAACTTCAAAAGTTAAGATATAAAAATAAAGCTAAAAGTAAATATAAAATCGCAAAAAAAAGCAAGAATGAAAGCGATTATGAAAGCAATTATGAAAGCGATTATGAAAATGAAGATAGCGAAGACGAAAAAAGAAGTTAAAAAAACAGTATAAAAAAAAGAAAATACAGGAATGAAGGCAGCAATGAAAAGAAAAAAAAAATTAAGTAAGTTAGGCTATACAAACCTAATAAATCGGTTTCATAATCCAGCAAGTCAAAGTTTACAAAACTAAAAAAAAATTCAAGTATATTTACTATCCGGATGAGTTTTCTATAAATTTTTTTTTTTATAAAAATTAAAAACGGGTTGCCAGGTTACCTTTAAAAATTTTATGCTATGAGAATCGATGTATGATCTTAATTTCTTAATAATATAATTATCTATTTTATTATATTACTAATTGATTTACTTATGACTTTACCAAAACCAAAAGTACACAAAAGAAAAGAATGTATTGAAGATAGTTTAGATAGTTTGACTGTAAGAGAAATGGTTAAACAATGGCGAAATAATTTAGAAGAGGATGAAGAAATGTCAAAAGAAATATCAGAAGAAGAAATATTGGAAGAGAAAGAAGTAATACCAAAACCAAAAAAATATACATGTATTAAAAAAGTGCCATGTGATCTTTTAAAGGCATTACGTATAAGTATATTTAACTTGAAAACCAATTTCTGAGAATTTTAGTATTTAACCTTAATTCTCAATAGATTAGTTTTTTTAAAAAAATCTTTTGTCATTAAACGTGTGCTATTGCTAAAAAGCTATTTGGCTAGTGAGGATTATAATATTAGATACTGCAGCAGTAGCACATCTGTTCAGAATCATCCAGGGTGACATCAAAAACACTGTGACATAAGATTAGTTAGTGTTACTTATTTGCTCACTTAAACTGTATATTGTGTTATCATTATTGTAATCCAATACTGCCATAATCTACATCACAGCATTTTTGGTAGTCGACCTGGATGATTCTTCATGAATCATTGGTAATCAAGTTCTGATAGTTTAGTTTAGTTTTTTTTTCCTAACATCAAGTGGTTTTTAATATTGATATATACTAAACTTTTGTAATTAAATATACTAATATGTAAGCAAAATATTAAATTTA